CAGGTACAGCATTCTTATGATAAATGATTCCCTAAATTTATGTTACATGGATGTTAGAAAGTATGTGAGCCTAGACAGTACCTCAGAACACAGGCAAGCCATATGTCACCTAATATCTAAGAGACGATTTGGGAATGAGAGATTGTTACATCAAATACGTCACATCTAATCTATTGACTCTGGGAAAGAGAGATCATAACATGAGATCAGTCTGGGAAAGAGAGATCATAACATGAGATCAGTCTGGGAAAGAGAGATCATAACATGAGATCAGTCTGGGAAAGTTAGATCATAACATGAGATCAGTCTGGAAAAGTTAGATCATAACATGAGATCAGTCTGAGAAAGAGAGATCATAACATGAGATCAGTCTGGGAAAGTTAGATCATAACATGAGATCAGTCTGGGAAAGTTAGATCATAACATGAGATCAGTCTGAGAAAGAGAGATCATAACATGAGATCAGTTTGGGAAAGAGAGATCATAACATGAGATCAGTCTCATCCAATCCACAGACTCTCTAACCCACAGAAAGGGAGATTATAACTGACGACCTCTCTAAGCCATGGCCATCATCCACACTATCAACTGCTTCACACAAAGCAAGGGTTCTGGAGATCAATCACAGTATGAGTGAAAATTCTATTATTCTGAAATCATTGTACCAGTGATGGGGGGTGCGGTGGGCGAGCTGGCTAAGGCGCCAGGCTAGTGATCCAGCAAGGTTGAGGTGCCGGGATCAAGCCCATCTGTGACCGGGTGTAAAAACCTTCGAGTCAACTTTGTGTGCAGACTCTTTCAGTGTTGTCACAACCCCTAGTGTACAGTACACATCCCTGTGCACTTACAAGAACCCACGAAATCCGTTGGTATATGACCAGATGGTGGCCACATGAATACGTGCAAACACCTAGTTGCAGGTATAGCAACTTGGACAAAGTACGGTGACTATGTGTCCCAGTCCACCCAGCTGTGAATGGGTACCTCGTTAGGATGAGAATTTAGCCACAATAACTTGGTGTGCCTAGTGGCTGCAAGAGTTGTATACTTCCCAGGGAGTTGAGATTGATAATACGATGTGCCGTTGAGATTGACATCCAATGATCGAGTGAAAAAAAATACCAGCACCTTGAGCATGCACTTTTTGTGTGGATATGTGCGCTATATAAATATCCAAAAATATCCTATATGATCCTTTCATACAACCACCTAACATATCCCTTTCCTCAGGTCAGCAGATTGCTAGGAATGTTTTAAGGAAGATAAGGGTGGCAACTTATTAATGTGTGTCGTACACATGTTCATCGTGGGTTATGACTGTGAAAGCATCATGTGTGGTACTGATGTCAAGTATTGATACTTGAACTTGTCACTGACCTCCATGAGCAGTAGATATGTGCAGACCATTCAGTTCATTGATACACCAGGTGGCGTTGAGAAAAGCAAACTGTGATGGCCTCTTGCCAAACTTGACTAAATGAGAACAACACTCAAGTCAGCTGTTAGTCCAAGCAAGCAGGATTCAATATGTCCTTCCAAACTCCTCTCGTTTGTCTGTAACTCAGATTTGATAGAGTACAACAATCTATCTGTTAATTATCCTCCGAGACATTGTCTGAATCCAGCTCTATCTGGGCATGAAATAGGCTGTGAACCATTACCTCTCTCTTGATTCTCTAAATTTACATAACATTAGACTTGGCTGTTTGTTTTTTAACACCCACGGGTGGAAATAACTTTGAAATTGCTAGTGTACATCGGTACAGTGGCAATTGTAAAATCACTTGCCCTGATAATTTTTCCTCTATACCGGCCGATTTCTCGTTGATTTTTTAAATAAACAACATAATTAACATTGGAAAGTCAACTGGACATTGGTACAGCGTGATATACAAATTTGCTTGCCCGCCTGGAAAAAACACTGGACTCGGACATCGGGCAATGGGTTATTTCCACCCCTGACACTGCTTAAGCAATATTTCAGCTACATTACAGCAGTAAATAATCTAGTCTGGATCAGACTAGCCAGTGATTGGCAACATGAGCCTCAAGCTATGCAATTGGAATATGATCACATGCACCTTTCAAGTTAGTGAGTCAAACTATCTGATCCAGTTCACATCTTGAAGTTGCTGAAGACCTATTCTAACACGGATCTTCTTGCCAAATATAACACTTAAACCACAATCTACATACATTTGGTCATCAGTGTTTGGAACCACAATGTACATACATTTGGACATCAGTGTTTGGAACAACAATGTACATATATTTGGAATCAGTGTACATTTGGACAATGTGTACATATATTTGGACATCAGTGATTGGAACCACAATGTACATACATTTGGTCATCAGTGTTTGGAACCACAATGTACATATATTTGGACATCAGTGTTTGGAACCACAATGTACATACATTTGGTCATAGGTGTTTTTAAACCACAATGTACATATATTTGGTCATCAGTGTTTGGAACCACAATGTACATACATTTGGTCATAGGTGTTTGGAACCACAATGTACATATATTTGGTCATCAGTGTTTGGAACCACAATGTACATATATTTGGTCATCAGTGTTTGGAACCACAATGTACATATGGTTTGGTCATTTGGATCATCAGTGTTTGGAACCACAATGTACATATATTTGGTCATCAGTGTTTGGAACCACAATGTACATATATTTGGTCATCAGTGTTTGGAACCACAATGTACATATATTTGGTCATCAGTGTTTGGAACCACAATGTACATATATTTGGTCATCAGTGTTTGGAACCACAATGTACATACATTTGGTCATCAGTGTTTGGAACCACAATGTACATACATTTGGACATCAGTGTTTGGAACCACAATGTACATATATTTGGTCATCAGTGTTTGGAACCACAATGTACATATATTTGGTCATCAGTGTTTGGAACACAATGTACATATATTTGGTCATCAGTGTTTGGAACCACAATGTACATACATTTTTGGAACATCAGTGTACATTGGAACCACATCAGTGTTTGGACAATGTACATTTTTGGTCATCAGTGTTTGGAACCACAATGTACATATATTTGGACATCAGTGTTTGGAACCACAATGTACATATATTTGGTCATCAGTGTTTGGAACCACAATGTACATATATTTGGTCATCAGTGTTTGGAACCACAATGTACATATATTTGGTCATCAGTGTTTGGAACCACAATGTACATATATTTGGTCATCAGTGTTTGGAACCACAATGTACATATATTTGGTCATCAGTGTTTGGAACCACAATGTACATATTTGGTATCAGTTTGGAACATCAGTGGACATGTGTTTGGAACCACAATGTACATATATTTGGTCATCAGTGTTTGGAACCACAATGTACATATATTTGGTCATCAGTGTTTGGAACCACAATGTACATATATTTGGTCATCAGTGTTTGGAACCACAATGTACATATATTTGGTCATCAGTGTTTGGAACCACAATGTACATATATTTGGTCATCAGTGTTTGGAACCACAATGTACATATATTTGGTCATCAGTGTTTGGTCATCAGTGTTTGGAACACAATGTACATATATTTGGTCATCAGTGATTGGAACCACAATGTACATATATTTGGTCATCAGTGTTTGGAACCACAATGTACATATATTTGGTCATCAGTGTTTGGAACCACAATGTACATATATTTGGTCATCAGTGTTTGGAACCACAATGTACATATATTTGGACATCAGTGTTTGGAACCACAATGTACATATATTTGGACATCAGTGTTTGGAACCACAATGTACATATATTTGGTCATCAGTGTTTGGAACCACAATGTACATATATTTGGACATCAGTGATTGGAACCACAATGTACATACATTTGGTCATCAGTGATTGCAACAACAATGTACATATATTTGGTCATCAGTGATTGCAACAACAATGTACATACATTTGGTCATCAGTGATTGCAACAACAATGTACATATATTTGGGCATCAGTGATTGGAACAACAATATACTTGGCTCCTGGACTTCTTAGGCCATCAATGTGGATGTTCCAGCAAGTAGCCATTAGCCATCATTTCGCAGAAACACTGAGCAGTTGATATTGAGGTTATAGCTGAACACACATAATAAATAGAGCTATATTCACATACAAGGTCAGTAAATCTACCAACAGAGCTATTTAACCAGACATATAGTCTCCAAACTAGTTATTTCTCAGTAGGTTACAGGCTTGAGGGATTGACTGCTTCTCTAGACCAAGACATCAAAATATTACAACTACAAAATACCAGATTGTGAATATGAGGCTAGTGGTTACCATGGTTACCATTTGAGTACAAGCAGCCTTTACCAGTAAAGTCAAAGAGCTGACCACCCAATACACACTTTAACTTTAGATGCTTGGGAGATATTTGAACCACCCAATCCCCACTTTGACATTAGATGCTGGGGACATATTTCAACCAACCAATCTCCAATTTAAACGTTAGTAAAGTGCAGAAGTATGGCAATTAATCGAGGCAATCTTTAAAACTAGATAAGAGAAAGTTTAATCACAATAATTCCTATTACAAAGTGAAATTTCAACAAATATTTACACTATAAAAGGTCACCTACAAATCTCTATGAAATCAGCCTGGATACAATCTGAAAACTCAGAGAAAACAAATTGTAGGAAAAGTATGTATGAATTTCATGTTGTTGAAATTCTGGATGGGAAGTTTTCATACCACAGATCATTGTGAAACAGCTTTTCACAGTTTGATATTTAGTAGTTCCAGCAAAAAGAAGCCTGTATTGTACCTATTGTTCAGACCTGAAAAAAATACATAAAAAACATTGCCAAATACTATTCAAAATCTACTAAGGAAAAAATAGTTATCTATAGTCACATGTGTGGTCCTTAGCAAATGTTGTGTAGCATAGACCCACAACGAAATGTCATAAGTGTATGTTGCATACAAAAAAAGAAACTTCAGACTTACTTTAGTTTGGTTATTGTGCCTTTGCTGGTGAGGCAGTTGATCACCCGTTTTTGGTATCCAATGAGTGGATGGGTTTTTACATTCTCCCTGTATGTGTTTTCGAATGGCTGGCAGGTTTCCCAGGGTTCCAGTGAATATGTGTATGTTTCCGTGCAGTTTTCACAAGGCAACATCATTGAGAAGGCCTCACAATGTCTTCCCCCATGTCTTGGAGGCACAATAATCCGTCTTGTCTTTGACCGATTTGGAACACGACACGTAGAATCACATTTACTCCAACTGGAATATAAAGAAACTATACAATCTTGCTTACATAGCAACTCACATGGTTGTGTCCTGTTTGGTTTTCGTTCATGTACTTGACATAAATGCTCCTCAACTCTTATATGACTGTCTCGACGCTCACAGATAACTTTTCGTGTTTGAACTCCATTATATTTCCCACAGGCTTTACTTCCGGGAGAAAGTTTACATGTGCTCCATGGTGATACGGACCACACAACATCCACTCCTTGTGACCAGGAATCACGTTCACCGTAGTTCTTGTCCAGAATCACACTCTCTGCATTGCAGTCTTTATAACATGTTTCAAATTCTGAAGGTTTGTGGAAAGATCCACAGTAGGAATAATGTACAGGGTGCCCTCTCTCACTCTCACACCACACTTCTCGGTATTGTGTTCCTCCAAATCCACAGCGTTCATTTTCACAGTCACCCCAAGGACCTGCAATAAACAGAACAGTGTTAAAGTACCTGGTAAACTTCAAGATATATTTGAAAACAAATCCCCAAAAGTAAAATATTAACATGTAGCTTCACATTAAAACCATCTCATTTGAAGATATATACTTACAACAAGATCTCAACTGATTTCTTCAATGTCTTCATATAAATAACTACAAATGGAAACTTATAAAAATACTAACAATGACCACATTGTACAATGTATGGCCATTATTGACAGTCAATATAAAATGTCAATATTTTGACTGCAATGTGGAAACTTGCAGCAAACAATATACCATCTAAAGAGTAATGTGGAAATTTTGTAGCAAACAAGAGACCATCTCAACATCACCATGGAAACTTGCTATAAATAACATACCATCTCAACTTCAATGTGAAACTTGTTATAAACAACATATCATCTCAACATCAATGTGAAACTTGTTATTAAAAAACCCCACCTCAACATCACCGTGGAAACTTGTTATAAACAACATACCATCTCAACATCACCGTGGAAACTTGTTATAAACAACATATCATCTCATCATCACCATGGAAACTTGTTATATTCAAGATATCGTCTCAACATCAATGTGAAACTTGTAGCAAACAATATACCATCTCAACTTCAACAGCATATACAAGTACCAGATTCCCAATTCCAGAAATCAATCACAGCACTTAGATTATCCCAATACCTTAACACAGAGTAGAATTCTAACATCCCACACTCGATTCATTCAGTGAAGGTTCATGGCACTACATCATTATGACCTGAATCAATGGATCAGTTGAGATTCATTCTCAACTCCCTGGGGAGGATACAACTTCATGAGGTGCTACAAGGTCAACAGGCACATTACCATCTCATCCATCCAGACTTATGAATGTGATACAATTGTGTGAGGAATGTTCCTGGAATACATGTTAGACAACACAATGTTTCAATGTATCCTAAGGAAGACTTGCTGGCTCCATATTTAGGGTATGTAGGCTTATTTCATCCTGAATGTCATTCATTATACATGTTTCTTTTGTGGATTTTAAGTTTTCAGAAGTTCTTTTTCATAATCATATTGATGATTTCTTTACAAAAGAGGAATAATGTTTGTATCGCCACACAGCCTTTCAGAAATATTGCCATCTACGAGGACTAAGTGGGGCAAGAAGCATTTGGAAACTATCTGTTACACGGAAGACTTCATGCTAGGACTGCACAATATAACCGGGTTACCGGTATTTACCGGTTCACACATGAAAACGATATTTATTGCGATATGTTAATCGAAAACCAGTATTTTGACATGCATTCGGAACACTCGGAAACCTTCGGATATTTCCGTTTTTTAAATTCTTCCTTTCCCTTTTTTATTTGTGCCAAATATTACTTACATTTATATTTTGCCATGATTAAAAGTTTTGATTAAAGCTTAATCAAGTATAGTAATTTTGTTGTGTTTTGGCTTTATAAATCAAGCATAACTCGATTATAAGTATTTTTTTGTTTAAAAAGAACTTCTAGCAATATATTGCAATACATATTGCATATTGCAAGAACCAGAGTTCATTGTCCAACAACTTTTTCTGTAAAAATTTAAATCATTAATCTTAAAATTAAAGCAGAAATGTTATTGTGAATTTCATTTCAATGTTTGCGAAACCTACTGCGATGCACCACAAACACATCGTGTACTGACTCACACTTACTGCATTAACCTTTGAAGCTGGTGCCGTCAGAAATATTCCAGACATGTCATCGTGACCTGTATAAAGTCAAAGTGCTGAAAGGCAAGACAGTGGTTGATAGCATGGCCATCTGTCTACAGTCAGGATACAATGGTCCACAATGGTTGATAGCATGGCCATCTCTCTACAGTTAGGATACAATGGTCCACAATGGTTGATAGCATGGCCATCTGTCTACAGTCAGGATACAATGGTCCACAATGGTTGATAGCATGGCCATCTCTCTACAGTTAGGATACAATGGTCCACAATGGTTGATAGCATGGCCATCTGTCTACAGTTAGGATACAATGGTCCACAATGGTTGATAGCATGGCCATCTGTCTACAGTCAGGATACAATGGTCCACAATGGTTGATAGCATGGCCATCTGTCTACGGGACTTTAGAACCAAGGATAGAGTAACACTGAATACCACAGATTGAGGGGCCATTAATTTTTATCCAGCACTGTTCCTGCATGATGAGAACAGACATGAAATGTTCGTGAACCAACATGTACCTAATTAAGAAGAAACTAAAATATACAGCCTAATACAATATATCAACAGATTGTAAACACAGAAGCAAATTCCCCACCGGATGATGAGATGGAGGCCAGGCCAGATGACAGAAGGCAAGCTGTGCCAGGTATCTGAACAGAACTGCCGAAGACAGGCTAACAAGTCTGTGATGTTGTTGTGATGCTAGATGAAGCAACCACCCTCCTCGTCTGTGAGATGGGGGAAACAGGTACAGGGTAGTAGAGGGAGGTATCTTCATAGCCAGACTTAAGTTTATACCACAAAATCAAGGTGGTTGATCGCTTGTACAGCCATCACTAAACGGTTTTATAACACCAGTGTTCTTGCTATTTGTGAACCTCCTCCGGTGCCAGTGAGTGCTTACACCATCAGTAGAATATGCCACAATATGCACTGGGTCATCCAGTGGGAGCTATACCATATATATCCTGGTGGAGGTGCAACAAAATCACACACAGAAATATAACATGACAAATACTTCATTTAGCTGGGGCAGTGATACTTAGTTTTGGTCTCTTATTTGGATTTGTAGATAAGAATAAAAAAGCGCCATTTTTGTGACTTTTTAAACTGGTTTCATGGCTTAATAATCTAAACAATAACTTGTTCAAGTGTAGCAGAAGATATTACCAGTTTTGTCATTAAATCCTGGATATTGTAGGTAAGTAACAACTCTGTGCTCTGGGTTGTGTAGATGCCCTTCACAAATCATGGGTTAAATGTAACATTGATATTCCAACAAGTCAGAGTTGAACTTTCCAAATTGTTCATAATAAGTCACTGGTTTTTGCTTAAAGATTTCCAAGAACATGTTAGACCTAATGTGCAAAAACAACCTCAAAGACATTTGACAATTCAAATTACTGTTTTCCTAGTCCAAAATGGCAGATGTTATACTTCCAGATGGCAATCAAATAATTGTCTGTCTCAACTGTCACTTTAAGAAATAAATGTCTGACAGCTGAAAGGTAATATTTTGTTTCAACTGCTCATGAAAAGTAACAGTATTTTGGACAGTGTGGTGGCTAGACTCATCTTGAATGAAGCAATTAGATTGTCGTCTGCATCGCTCTTCTTGTACCTGACTGGCACTAACTACCCACTGAGCCAAACTTTCTGTTGACAAATCAAGTTCACGGGATGAACTGAAACACCCATAGCGTTCTAATCCTGTTAGTCCTAGTGAGAGACAACAATGGCAGCAGAGGGTGGCCGACCTGTGCCCTTAGTGGCATTCAATTAGGACCACTGTCTACATCAGACACATTTTCATTTCGCATCTACAAACCCGTCACTGGAAATGTCAACATCTTTAATCCTGCCCACTAATGGAACATACCCTGATTGGTTTGTTTCTGTCATCAAATGCTGTAAATGCCAATTGTATAATGTCTGCTTCAAATAACAGTGACAATAGCACAACACTCAGCCTTCCTGCTACAATTGCAGAACGTCTGCTGCCAATGTGTCACCATCACTGTCTGTATAACACATGGCATGGTGGGTGAACTGTCTGTATAACACATGGCATGGTGGGCGAACTGTCTGTATAACACATGACATGGGTGCATGGTAGGTGAACTGTCTGTATAACACATGACATGGGGGCATGGTGGGCAAACTATCTGTATAACACATGACATGGGGCATGGTGGGTGAACTGTCTGTATAAAACATGACATGGGGGCATGGTGGGTGAACTGTCTGTATAACACATGACATGGGGGCATGGTGGGTGAACTGTCTGTATAACACATGACATGGGGGCATGGTGGGTGAACTGTCTGTATAACACATGACATGTGGGCATGGTGGGTGAATTTTCTGTATAACACATGACATGGGGGTATGGTGGGTGAGCTGTCTAAGGCGCCACGCTAGTAAGCAAAAGGTGCCTGGATCGATCCCCACTTATGACCGGGTGTAAAAACCTTGGAGCTAACATTACTTGCAGGCTCTTTCAGTGTTGTCACAACCCCTAGTGTGCAGTACACAACCCTGTACACTTACAAGAACCCACTCATCCGATGGTAGATGACCAGATGGTGGACACACGAACACGTGCAGACAGCTAGTTGCGGGTATAGTAACATGCAGTATCACTGGACAAAATACTGTGACTACGTGTCCCAGTTCACCCAGCCACAAATGGGTACCTTGTGAGGATGAGGCTGTGTGATAACTCGCTGCGCCTAACAGGCTGCATGAGTTGAATACTCCCCAGGGAGTTGAGTTGGTAAAAGAATGCAAGAAAAAAGACATCCGTTGATCAAGGAAACACTCAAGCACCTTGAGCATGTACTAGTTGTGTGGATATGTGCTCTATAAAAATATCCTATCACCATCATGACATCACCCCCTTTCCTGCTGTAATTGTAGAAAATCTGTTTCAAATATAATTCATCATTCATTGTCTATAACTATCAAAACAGACCCCCAGCGATACAAATAAGTGTAATTATAACATGCTACTGTCATCATTGTTGGTCTGTACAGTTTGTCCTACTGTTGATGTCCTCGCTGTCAACAGATACAGCATTGCTGATCAGGCATAAACCAATATTCACTCAGTCATTCACCATTCTGTTGCCATTCAACATTTCAATCAACAGAACTTGATATTTCTGCAACAGTGAATTAAGGTTGCAGCATCATTAGGCGAGGTTAAGAACACACATACAATGATTATATAATTGCTTCAATAGATTTATGTTTCTTAAATTCAA